GCAGCTCTGTGCGGCGGAGTGCGGCGGCGGAGGAGCGTGGTGGCCGCGCTGACGTTGAGACGCGTGGCCTTCGGCCGCCGGGATTGCAGGAACCAGGAGTTTCTCTCGTGAAGGCAAAAGGGAGCCGGAGCCTAGAACTAATCCCAGTCCCAGCGGCCCGGCCTGGCAGCTAGTGACTGAGCCGCCCGCAAGGGAATGTGCCGGGGAGGTAACTACTCCCACCCCCTTCCACGGCCCCAGAGGGGAGGCAGCCCAGGCTGCTGCTTGGCTGAGCGTCAGAGCCGGTCTGACAGCACCTGGGCCAGGGCAGGGCTCAGCCAGGCAGCAGCTGCTGGCACACGGGGCCCTTGGCCGACAGTGCCCGCTGCAGGGAGGGTGCCCTGAAATGTGCACGCTCTGGCTCCGAGACCACAACGCCAGCGCTCTGCCCGTGCCAGGGCCCCTCTGCGTGTCGGCCACCCCTGGGCCAGCCCCAGAAGGCTGCGAACAGCCCCATCTTCCCCTGGAGACCGGATCCAGCCTGGCCCGGCCTCAGGCCTGCCCCAGCCGCTCTGCCCTTTGCCATTTGCCTGCAGCCCCTCTGACGCCTCCTGCCGGGCCCATCCCTCCTTCGGGTCCAGCCTTTCCACGGGGGCTGGACAGGGGATTGCCCACGGGGCCAGGGGATAGCTGGGCAGAAGTCAGAGCCAGGCACAGCCCTGCCTGCAGCCAGCCCCTGCTCTGACAGCCCCTGGGCCGGTGAGGCCTCCCCAGATATTGTCCCTCCCCACTGAGAACTTGCTCCATTGATCTGCCAGAGGTCCCCTTCCCTATAGCTCTGGGGTGGCCCAGCCTTCACCCCCCCCGGTACAGAATGGCCAGAGGGAGCAGGAGCAGGAAGCAGCCTGTCTGGAGGGGGGAGAGGACAGATTTCCTCCCCACCCTGCTTCACCTGCTGCTAACTCAGCCCAGAGGGACAGCGGGCCCATGCCCGCAAGGATGCCCCATGATCCTGGGCACAGGTCTGGGCTCTGTGCCCCTGGCACCACCAGGGAACCCCCCTTCCAGGGCCCCAGCCTGCCTCTGCGCCATGCCGAGCTGCAGGGGTGCGGGGCCTGTACCTTGAAGAGCGTGGTGCCCGGCTCACGCCCAGCCAGCGTGCTGCTGTCTACCAGCTGGGCCACCCGGGGGTCGTCCACCTTCATGAAGTCTCTGACCAGGTCGGTGACCTCCACCAGCCAGTCAGGGCCCAGCATGGTGATGACCTGGCCGGTGCCCTCCGAGGAGGTGGTGTGGAACTGGGTGAAGACCTGGAGGGTGGCATGCTGGTACTGCAGGGTGCAGCCCCGACTCTGCTTCCGCTCGTCCTCATCCTCATCGTCCGGGGGGCCCCCCCGACTCTGCTTCCGCTCGTCCTCATCCTCATCGTCCTCGCTCTCCCGCACGGACCTGGGGGCAGAAGCCGGATCAGCCGCTCTGCCGGGGCCTGCCCTGCTCTGGAGCTAGCGGGCATGCACATGTGCGTGTGCCGTGCATTGGCCTGTGCGTACAGCACTACTGTGCGTACAGTCCGTGTTCTTGCAATTCCTGATCACGGCACTTTAAAGCCCTCGCAGTTCTCGGGGTTAGATCCTTCCATCTTAAAAGCCACGGCGTTGTCATAAAACACAAACGTATATTTAACACAGAAAAACCTCAAGCGGGGGTCCCAGGCCAAACGGGGTCACAAATCCATTTGGAGGGGTCACAGTATTGCCAGGTTCCTTCTGTGCTGCTTTCAGAGAGGGGAGGGCGAGAGCAGCCGCTGCTGGCTGGGTGCCCAGCTCTAAAAACAGCAGAAAGGCTGGGCATACTTGGAGCCCCCTCTCCCAAATCGCCTTGTGACCCCCCATAGATCCGAACCCCCCAGGCTGAGCCTTGTATTTGTACATACTTTTACCCTTGAGCAGAGGAAAAGCACCCAAAAGATCAGACGTCTTAGGAGAGAACAAATGTCACAGTCTGGGATGCATTGCTCATGGCAGTGAATTTGGTGCAGCCCTTCACGCGTGACTATGTATGCTTGTGCACATACACATGTGCGCACAGATGTGCACGCGTGGACACACGTGTGCCCGCCCCAGAGATAACCCACTGCCAGAGTTTATTGACCTGAGTCTGGGCTCACAGTTTGGAGGCAAATTTCCCATTTGCCAGTTGCTCAGCCTGGAAACTGTCCCCCCTGGAGCTGCCTCTGCCCTTGGCCATCTCTGGCCTCTGACCCCCGCTGAGACGGGAGCTCTCTGCAGTCTTGGGCCTTAGGAACACCAGCAAAGGCAGCTCTTGCAGCCCCCGGTGCCAGACAGGAGCTGAGGGGGGGAGCAGGGTCGCTGGCCACTCAAGCTGCTCCCTTGTGCCGGGCTCTGCCGCGCCCTCCAGTGGTGAGCAGGGAGCCGCCACTAGGCAGTGCGCCCCAAGGCACAGCCCGTCGTAGCAGAGGGCCCTGCAGGGAGGACCCTGTCAAGGGGAGCTGGGCCGGTTCCCTGCCTGGCAGAGCTTCCAGCCACAGCGCAGGCCGAGGGGCTGAGCAGGAAGGCAGGCCCGGCCCCACGCAGGGGCGCACCTCCTGTCCGGCAGGATGGGCACCCGCCAGCCCTTGACTTGGCTCAGCCGGGGGTCCGACAGCTCGATGTGCAGCGGCAGCTTGGGCACCCACATGGTCATCTCCAGCAGGGCGCTCCGGTGCTCGTAGCTGAAGGTCACCCGGGCGTTCATGGACCCGCGCGTCTCCTTCCCGCTCACAAAGACGTAGTCGCAGCTGCTGGACACCTGGGGACAACGGAGAGCCAAGCCGCGGCCCTGAGCAGCAGGTTAATTGAGGGCGCCCCAGCGCCCTTCCCTCCCCCACCCCACAGCTTGGCTGGTGATACTACAGCACCCAGCATGCAATGCAGCTTGATGCTTAGCTCCGGATGGCACACTGACTGCTGGGAGCTGTAGTTCCCGGGGGCCGTGGCTCTGCATGAGAGGCAAAGGCAGGAGCCAGTTCCTGCTAACCACCTCGGCTCACGGGCACCGGCCAGGCAGGTGTCCTGCTCATCCCACACCCGATGCGTTCACCACCAGAGCTCACATGCTAGACGGAGAGGCTCCTGTATAGTTTGCCTCTCCGATCAGTGCTGGAGCCAGCCCCTTTCTCCGCTGCCATCAGAGGAGGGAGCTGGCAGGGACACATCAGCCATATCGCAAAGGCAAACCAGGCCGCCACCCCCACGATGGGCCAGACAGAGAAAGCACCAATCACTGCCGGAGCTTCCCGCCAGCTGGTGCAGCTCCCCGGCCCGCCGGGGAACGGGCAGCGAGGGGAAGGCGTCCCAAGTGGTACCCAGCCAGTGGTCTCTGCAGGAACAAAAAGCCGCTGCGCCCTGCAACGACACCCCTAGTGGTCCGTACGGGTATTGTCCTAAAGGGGAAGGGGCGGAGCCCTGCCTGGCTTTGGACCCTCTGGAAGATTGGGAGTCAAAGGTGCGACCCTGCCAGGCGGTGAGCGCCCCCTGGAGGTGCTGAGCGTCCTGCGGCGAAGGCCTTTGCACGAGCGGTTCCCGGTGGGCACGTGCGATTGTACCAAACGCACACGCCTGGTCCAGCAGAGAGCCCCGAGTCTGGGGAGCCCTGCTTCTGCCACTGACTCGCTGCCCGGCCACGAGCAACTGCCGTCGCCTGGCAGGGCCTCAGTTTACCAACCATGAAAATAAAAAGAACGCAACTGGCTTTCCTTGGGAAAGTGCTTTGAGCTCAGCTTCCGAGATGGCTCCCGCCACGCTCCCCTGTGCAGGCTGGCGAGCAGCCCAGACTGGCCAAAGCTCCCTTCCCCCCGGCCGGGGAAACAAAACATTTTCATCGAAAAAAACCTCAGTTTCAAATGTTTCCGTTCCCGTCATTTTGCTTTGACTCCAAACGGCCGGTTTGTTCTGGCTTGGTCGAAACTTGACAAGAGCCTGAAATTCCAAATGTCCCTCCCTCCGCCACCCACTTGTCCGATGCAACCAGACGAGCTGCGTCTACATTCTGCCCCGCCTTTGCGAAACTGCCCCACCGGCGTGCAGGAGGCGGAGAGGCGTCACGACCTGCCCACCGTCACACCAGGCCTGTGCTCGGAAACCAGCCTGCCCTCCCCACCCCAGCGCCCAGGGAAACGTCAGTCGCATCAGACTCGCCTCTTGAGCGGCACGTCTTGGAGCAATCTACTGAACGGAAGCAATCCCTGTTAGCCATGCCGTGGTGCTAATGTATTTCCACGGCATCTGCCTTTGAGGTGCGATTCCCTGACACCACCGTCACACCAGGCCTGTGCTCGGAAACCAGCCTGCCCTCCCCACCCCAGCGCCCAGGGAAACGTCAGTCGCATCAGACTCGCCTCTTGAGCGGCACGTCTTGGAGCAATCTACTGAACGGAAGCAATCCCTGTTAGCCATGCCGTGGTGCTAATGTATTTCCACGGCATCTGCCTTTGAGGTGCGATTCCCTGACA